CATGCTACCTGGCTAATTTTGTGTGATCAACTCCCCTCTGGAAGGATCTTTTATCCAGAACTCAGTCTTCTGGACACTGCTTGATAGAATTGATCCAAGATGCTCAGATGGTTTTTCCATTTGCGGATGGAGGTGCTTCAGTGGGTGAGCTATCTACTGCTCTTGGGTAACATGGCAGCATTTTTTGTCCTATGAGAACATTCAGGAAATGCGGTGATAAACTTGCTTGGTTTTGTGCTGTGCCTTTGTCAGATTCTCTGTTTCTGCAGGCTGTTGGTCATAAAAGATAAGTTCCTAGCAATTGCTCATGCTTTCTGGTAGTCATCTCAAGCTGTATGATAGTACTTTCATCTACTGCTTGTAAAAAAGCTGTTTGTGTTTATCTGACAGCAAGTTCAATGTTCCTATAAACGCAGCTCGTTGGAATTCTTTGGTTTGGGGAAGAGCAGAAAAACAGCACAGGAATAAAACAGGGTAGCTTTCCCCAGAGGCTCGTTTCTTGTTTGCAAAAGAGAAATTTGCCAGATGCGACTTTGTACTACTGACTCCCTCTTAAATAACAAAAAAGAGGTGGGATCGTCTGCTCCAAAGGAAAATACTCATGCTTTGCCAGAGTGTATTGGATGACAAAAGTGTAGGAATCTTAAATTTTTTTAGTTTTAAACTCCCCAGCCCCAAGGTAAGAGAAATATCCAAATATTTAGAAATTCAGGGGAAGGCTTTTTCCAGAGACTTTTTAAAATCTGTTGCTGAGCAAAGCACTGAGGAGTGGCATAAAGTTACTACAGACCCAAATGTAAATTTTAGTTGCTAAATTCAGAGGCTTGTTTCCTGTAGTAGTGTTTTCTCCACGATGAAAAAGTGACATTTTAGGAACTCAAAACCTGGCTCCATTCCTGGCTTTTCTGCTCGCTTTGGAGGCAGTGAGGTGATGCTCCTGCCTTCTCACAGCCATTCCCAGGGCAGAGCAAGCTTCGGGCTGTCACGTAGCACAGAGAGCCTCTGGTTTCAGTTTCCATCTCTGCATGATCATTCTCAAACCACATCTGAACCCTGAAATTAAGTAAGTCAAGAAATTTTTCCACCCTGCTTGGCCAGATGCTGACCCCTCCCAGCTGAGATTACTGGTGCCTGTGCTTCACGGTGCACTTCCCCACTGGGAGGTGGGGATGGCTGGGCAGTCCTGCCTGGGTCATAGGGAACGGCTCTGAGAGGCAGGAATGCAGATACTCAGATTGCATCGTTCCTTTGAAGTCACTCCTTGACTTCGGTTGTGGCTGTGATTTATGTCAGCTGATCCTTGGAGCCAGGAATAGCAGTGATTTGCCTTGACCTTGGACGTGCATGTTAGATCACCTGCCTGGGGTTCAGATGATCCACTTCGTGGACAGCCATGTTATTTCCCTCCAGTTTCATGTTCTTGACTTTTGGAAGCTGTAATTTTTAGAGACTGTAAGAAGTAGATGCTAGTTTTTCTACTTGAATTAAACTTCAGGTCAGGCATCTTGTAGGATCCTGCAGGGAGAGCTTTGGGAGTTTTAGGTGTTACACAAATGACACCTCTCACTGTTCTCTCTTATCTCATCAGTTCCTGATTTGCTGCTTGGATTATCTAATCACTGTCAGTGCAAGTGTTTGGGGTGAAAGTAATTAGAGCAGTGCTTCCAACTAATTCCTATTCATGTAGTAGTAGTGTAAATGTTGATTTGAGGGATAAGTGAGCTAAGTGTTCGTGCTGAATAGGCACCTGGGAGCGTCTGGGGCTGCTGCTGGTAGCTGCTGTCAGAACAGCTTCAACAGTGTAAACAGTTCAGGTACTGTTGTCAGTGTGAGGAAGTGCTGACAAGCCTCAGACACATACTCCATCATGATGGATCAAAAGCCTAATTATTTGCTCTGTATGCGCTCCTAATGGGGTCTGTGATTAGCTCTCTGTCTTGGGCTCATCACCAGCTCTTCTGTGCATTGACTGCATTGAAGGGCTTTCCGTGTTCTTGCATAGAAGTTGGGTTTGTGCAGCTTCTGCTCAGTCAAGGTGGTGCTGGGTGTTCTTCTGCAATGTTGTGGGATCACTGAAATGATACTGTGATAATGGATACCCACTGCTGATGGCAGCTATCTCAGGATTTCGTTTTTGAAAGTGCTAAGCAGGTTTTAAGAGAGAGCTTGAGTCTTCTTTATGAGTTTGTTCCCATAAGCTGTCAGGCAAGAGTTAACAACCACAGCACTGATGTTAATGGGATTCTAACAAAAACAAAATACTTGATAATACTTCAACTATTGCAGCCCAGTATGTAAATCTTATTTTCGTGCTGTGTCTAAACACTTGTCCTCCTGTTTCCCACACCACCCAGTAACGGTGGCTGTTTTGTTGCTGGCAGCGCTGAACAAAGCTGCAGTGAGGGATGAATTGCATCAAAGTCACTGGCGCAGAGAAGGCCTAACTGGCTGTTGATGTTTCTAGAGTTTGTGTAGCTGTATGGGTTTAGAGAACTCAAAACTCTTCTTTTAAGACTTTAAACATCTTTCTATTAATTTAACATCCAGGAACTCTGATGGTGCAACCAGATTGCACAGTCAGGTGGTATGCAAACATACAAATAAATTGTGCAGTCTGGAAGGAGGCAGTTGTACAACAGATGAGTAATGGCATTTCATTAGACCAAGTGACTGCCTAGATAACATGCAGGACAACTGAGGATTCCTGGTTACAGTCAATACCTTGAGAAATGCAGGCAACCTTCCAGCTGCTGTTGAGCTCACTATGTAAGCAATACTTCATTGTTCACAAGCATTTGTATTACAAGTGGATTACAAGTGTATCTTGGGATAAGACCCAGTAGTAACGGTATTAACGGGGTGATGGAGCCTGTGCAATTACACAGGTGGTTTGTTAATCTACTGGTGCAACTAAGTAATTGGAGTTCAGTACTTATGAGATTAAATCTTGTCTGTGAGCTAAAAACTGCTTCCCTGTTCTTTGGAGAATAACTATTCTGATGAGAATGCTACCATTAGATGCAAAAAGAGTTGTGTGGGTTTTTTTTGTTTGTTTGTTTGTTTTTTCCCTGTGGGCTACCATATGAATAGTAGAGCATAAATTGGAGGGAGGTGGGTCTCAGCCATGTTTATGTACTCAAGCACAGCTTAAGTGCTTTTCCTAATTCAGGACAAAAACAAGCAGCGTGGTGCCTTAACCTGGCGGGTCAGAACACAAATACCTTGGTCTTGCTTCAGCTCAGAGATGCCAAAGGAAGGAGAGAGCTGATGCAGGAAGAGGAGGAAGTTCAGAGGGGGGACCCTTGTGTCCTGATTTTCCTCCATTTCACTCAAATTAGCATCATGAATGCCATTTGTTCTTCATAGGCGTAGTTACTTGGGTTGGCATGACTTTGTCCTGAAGACAGTGATGTATTGTATTGTGTTAGAGAATTGCTGTACTGTGGGAGCAGAACCAAACCACAAAAGCTGAGTATTTATATTTGATGCTGATTTGGCTCCTTTGCTTGCATTTAACATGTGGTTGTGTTTTTTTTTTTTTTTTCCCCAGCTTTTTTTTACCTTGATTCTGTTCTAAATCCAAAAATTAGTCTGGATTAGTTGTTGTTGTGCTACAGAACCCATTCCAGTAACATCAACTTATAACCACCTCCCATGCTTGTATGGAGTTGATTGCTAGTGGTACTTATGGTCCCAACAGCATTTGGAAGGTTGTGCTCCCCGCCAGAGGTGGAAAGAAGCTTTCTTTCCTTGGACGAGGAATGGGTGTCCACAAGCTGGGAGGAATAATATGACTCCCTGAACAGCTAAAAGACAGTGGAAGAACAGACAGCTGGTCAACTCAATCATTTTCATGCACAGAAAGAGTTACAGCTACTTAGTTGTAGCTACTTTTCATGGGCATTATTTTGTGCTGGATAAGTTGGTTTAGAAAACTATCAATGGATCCGAGGTTGGAGCTCTCTTGTCTGGTTGCTTTTTGGGCACTGGCTTGGTGGGAGGCAATGAGAAGTTCTGAGGGGTCCCATCACTGATCAGTCCATTTGTGCTACCCTGGAGCCCTGCCAGAGCTGTTCAGTACTTGATAACGGCTGATAGGGACTTTTCTTTGAAATCACACTATTTTTAGTGGCAGTCTTGTTTTATTTCTATCTTACCAGGTGTCACTTTCGAATTACTGATTAAATGTAGGCTGTGAACAGTTGGTAAGGCTTAAATTTTTTTTATCCTCTATGCAGACAGTATGTTATCTAAGTTTTGAATGTAATAAGATGATAGGAAGTGCTGTACAGTTGAGGACTAGGTGGGAAGATTGCAAGAAAGGGGACAGAAGTTTGATAAATGAATTGGCAGGATGCTACAAGTGTGGAAAGGTGTTTCTTCAGTCACTCTGTGCAGAAAGAATCTCATTCAAGTGACTCAAATTTAAGTATTTGGACTTTGAAAGCAAAAGGACACTTGTTGGAATCCTGTATTCTACTGTGAAATGGTCTGTCCAGTCATTCAGTTACCCAGTAATTGAGCTCCTTTTCACTGTGTATTCACACTTATTCTTTTACGTATTATACACATATTCTGCTTTGCCAATTCACACACCTGATGGAATTTCATTCCTTGTCTGCTCAAGCTTTGTGTCTGTCTTAAGCATACGAGACTGGAACAAATAATGAATTAACATTGAAAAGTGTATCCCTTTATTTTGAAAAAGCTGTTTCCTAGAAAGTCCTGCATGTACAAGCAGGGTGGCTGCAGCTTCTTTCATTAGCACCCTTCATGCAAGCATCCTCTGTCTTTATTTATGACTTAATTTATGACTGCAATGTAATTCAAAAGAAATACGATGTAAGTGTCCATTAGCTTGATCTTCATTTTGTCTGAGCTACTGAGAGCCATTAATTGTAACTCCAGAGCAGAATCTGATTTATAAGTCTAACTTCTATGCAAATGTTAGTGATACTGAAGTCATTGGAGATGCCAAGTTTATTCTCTTGTGTTTCTAGATTTACCAGAGATGCTGGTTAGTATTCAAAAAAGCTTCAAGCAAAGGGCCAAAGAGGCTGGAGAAATTCTCAGATGAACGAGCTGCTTACTTCAGATGCTATCACAAGGTAAGGCCTGATTATATTCTTGTTTATCAAACTTGTTTTACATGCAGTTGGGAATAAAATCTGAAGTTGTCACGTATTAATTGGCCTGAAAACTGGAACTTTCATTTTCTACAGTCGGGGTCCAAAACCCATTTGTATGTTCCTTCAGTAAAGGAAGGAGAGATCAGAAAGTTGGGTACCTAACAGCTTGGGTCTTGTATGTGTGGGAGGCACTAGACAGCTACAGAAATGATGGGCAATGTGCAGATCTTTCTTGCAGCAGTGATGTGAAAACCTTTTCTGAATTCACTGATATTAAAAGAACGTTGCTTTCCCTCTAATCGCTTCTCTGCAGTTCTGTGTGCATTTCATACTCATCTGAGAATTTACATGTGTAATTCTCCTGGGCATGGAGATGAAAATGAGAAACCCTTTAATTTATGATCATTGTTGGCAAAAGCTTAATATATTAGAAGATTAGGATTTATGTGCATAAATTGCTGGGAGTCAGCGAGCACAGCTCAGCTCGAGGCTGATCTGCATTTATTCTCTTTGACGTACGTTTAGGAGGAAATCTGGAGGGAATACTGAGTCTGAATTCAGACTTGTCGGTCTGCATGCTGTATAATTTGTAACTGATTGATCATAAAACCTGTGGCAATTTGTAGTAAGTCGTGCCCATAAATACTCCATCTACATTTTGATTAAGAAACTTTCAGAAGTAATGAACGGTGTGTTTGAGGGTAGCACGGTGTGTGTAAGACAACATCTAGCTTTCAGTGAGACGCTGCATTTGTATCAGCGTGGCTCTGTCAGTCTCATGCAAGTGTTTATTTCTTCCACTTTACAAATGTAACGCATCATCGGGTTCAGATTAGTTAACAGATGTGAAATCTAAAAGGAATCTGAATGAAGCTGGATTTCTTTTTCAAGAGAAACTGAGGCTGCCCTCTAGTTCTAAAGCCATCAGCTATACAAGCTGATTGGCTCTGCTTGCTTATAACCAACCTTACTTGAAAGGAAGCTAATGAATGTTAAGTAGTGTTCTTGTGTTCTTTGGCTAAAATGTGTTGACTTACGAAGAGCACATGTGGCTTAAAATGGCTTTATCCTTTTTAAAAAAGCTTTGTAAATGTGTGAAATTCAAAGGTGGGCAATGATGCAACTTCCAGCATGATTATCTGGGAGGTGTTCGAAGGGAACATGCCACTGCTGCTCTGTGTTGCACTGCAGTTGAATTGATTCTTGTAAAAACAAAAAAAACAAAAAAAACAAAAAAAAAACCACCAAAAACATAATAATTAAATGAAAATAAAAAAGAAAAAAAATCTTAATATGGCAGTCATCAACCACACTACTTCTCAACTGTTTTTATCTATCTTATTAATGGGCTTTGATGGTCATCATATGATCCAGTGCCTGCAATAGTCATTGCTATTGTTATACACATCTGGTCAGCACAAGCTGTTGAAGGCAGCATCAAATCTAGACACTGGAGGGGCCCTTGCTCACCCCATCAGTCTTTGTGGAGATTTAATCTATCATAAGACTGTGAAAATGAAAAATGATGAATGCAGCAAATGTTTTAATAGCACCTGCCTCCTTCACTGGAGTGTTAAATTGTTTCTTTATTGTGCGTGTGTGATGAATTAAAGCACAAACATTACTTCAGTTTATTAGTGGAGGGAGCCTGGGAGCCTTCTTGTGCTGGTCCTGCAGTGGTGCCTCTCAGTCTGAGCTGGAATGGACTGAGGCGTAAGTCATCCTCACCCAGGCACGATTCCTTCTCCCTTTGGAGTCTGGGTTGGAAGTTCAGTATTTCTGTCACACTGGGGGATCCAGTTTGTTTGAGTTTGGGAACACGAGGGCTGTGTCCTACTCTGCAGCCCTGTGCCAAAGGTGGAATCTTGACATCTGTGCTGCTCCCATCTTGCTGATGCGACACCACCTCTTCTCCCTGCCCCATGCCTGGGGCTTTCCCACATCATTTTGATGGAGGAAGATTTTCTTGTGTTGCTGCCATCATCCATTGTGATACCAGTAGTCTGTGGGCTCCTGCAGGAGATGATAACTGCTAGCTTGGCTTGGTGGCTGTGTTTTAGAATGAAGAACATTCATTTGTTGGTTCAGGTGGTTTGGATGTTCAGCTCTTAGACTGCTTTACTTTGTGCTTGCCTGGATCTCCTATGTGTACTTCTGAAATAAATGACGCAAGATGGAATGAGTATTTTTATGTAAAACATTCAAATACTTATAATTTAAGTGCATCTCTGCCTGAATTTCTTATTAAACATGATCTAAAGGATCCAGACTTGCAGTTAGTTGGCAAAGTCAGTGACTGGGGAAGTTTAAAACAACAGAAGAAATAATACTTCTGTGTAATATTGACTTTAAATACTTTTTAATCTCCTTTTTTTTTTTTTTTTAACACAAAAAGGTTGAAGTGCACTAAAATACAGGTCATCTGAAAATGGTCATGTATAACTTAAGTGAACTGAAATTCTGCATACTCCAAATTACTTAATTTGGGTCTACAAGGATGAGAAAATAATCTGGATCTGGGATGCAAAATCTGGGCAGAGAATTGCCTTTCAGGTAACTGTATGGATTTCATTTGGTAAATAAAAATAATCATCCACAAATGACCATATGCTTTAGCATGGTGATGTTGGAAGAATGAAGGAATTTGTGTTTCTCCAGGTGATTTTGAACTCTGCAGGGTACCAGAATAATCCTTAATATTCCAACACAAAGCCAACTAATTCCATACTGCTGACAGGACTATGCTGATTCCTTGAGGGGATCTAAGTTTTCATCCCATTGTATTAATCTTGCTTTGAAACAGCAGAAGCAATTTAAACAGTCTGTCTAGTTATGGAATAATCCAGTTGGAAAATTGAATTGTCATTTGTAATTGTTTTCCAGCCTTGTTCATGCAAAACTGTACCAGTGGCAAATTAAATGTTGAAAGTATGACCACTCTGCTTATAACTGACTGTTAAACATTTATTTTAATGAGTGCTATCACTTAACTCCAAATAAAATGTCTGCTTTGAGGTTTTAAAAGAATTAAAGCAACTCATTGGGGACGTTTTGGTGCTTTTGCCATGCAAGTATATGTGTTTACCAGCAGATCTTGTGCCATGAATGGAGCTGGGCTGGGATGACTGTGCTGTATTTACCAATGAATTTCCCCTGGTGGGACTGGGAAGTTTTGCCTACAGCTCTCTGCTGGGTGAGTTTCCAAGCAGCTGAGAAGCATAAAGTCCTTAATTAAGATTGAAACCAAAGATGCATCCAAACCAAGGAGCGTGGCAGTTGTGTAGGCAATAAATATGATCCCTTGTGTTCTGTTCTGAAAGGCTCCCCGTATTTGAGAATTATGTCCTAATTCAAAGGGTTGTTTGAGTTCACGAGGCTGCTAGGGCTGTTTTCAGTCAACTGTGTTTTTGGCATGTTAGAGGAGGGGATGGAAGAGGGAAAATATTTTCCAGAGTGTTTCTGGCCATGATGAAGCTCTGTCTGCTTGTGCTGTCGGTCGGGCAGTGAACGCTTAATCCCTTATCCTGGTCCAGGATTCCTACCACACACCTCTGCAAGTTATTTTGGTCTTTAATCAGGTGTACTTCAGTTGTATGGGTTGTCACCTTTGATGTAAAGGAGCCCTGAAAGCAAAAGGGAGGAAAGGAGTGTGCCGGGGCTGCAACCCTTCTCAATAGAATAACAGTCCTCCTATTCTTTCACTGTTAAATATTGTTGTGGGCCTGAGATTCGTAGCTCATCCAACTTCTTAGAATTAAGCTTATAGATGTACACTAATTTTGGCAAAAAAAAAAAAAAAAAAAAAAAAAAACCAAAAAAAACCCCAGAACTTACTAAACTATGACAACACTTTTACATGTCTAGCAGGAAGAGAATAGCAGCCTGGAATACTGGCAGGTGTCTGCTCCTGACTCCTTTCCAAAGCCCGGGGAGGGGAAATTAGCTGTCTGCCACTTCTTAGTGTGAATTTGGTGCCAGACAATTTGAACCATCTGTTGCATTCGTGAGAGCAATGGTGAGGCTCTTCAGGCTGCCTGGGTAATGAGGGTGCTCTGTAGCACCTTGCAGGGCGATGCAGCAGGTTGGGTGCTGGGTGGTTTTTGACGAGCTCTCCCTTGGGAGCACAGGTGTGCTGTGGATGTGGAGGCTCTGCAGTAGGATCTGCTCCTTGGCCAAAGCTGGGCTTTGCAGGAAGGGGCTGTGTTGTGCCACAGTTCTTCTGAAAGGTAAGGACAGCTCTAGCAGTGCAGCCCCAAAAGGAAGAGAGGGCAGTTGCTGCGTTTTTGCCAGCTGTAAAAATCAGGTGCTATGAAGTTGTATTTGGGACCTAAAGCATGTGTGAGCTGAAAGACTGAATTTCTGAAGGGGAACATGGTTGTGCGTTATGCTGCCTTCAGGTCAGGACACCCAGCCATGCACTTCTGTTCCCTTTGGGTTTTGCTTAACTCCCTTATGGCCCAATGAAGTCACTGTAGCATAGAGTGACTGTCCTCACTGAGGAGAAATTACTACTGTCATGGGCTGCAGGGTGAGGGAAGAGATGCTGTGTAATTTCTAGTAACCTTTTATTGACCGGGAGAACAAAAAAGAAAGGAAAAATGTTGGTTTACAAGTATGGCTGTAGCTTCTGTCCTACTCTATGTAATGACCAAATTGGGGTAACCAGCTGGTTCTGGTGTAAAGCCTTAGACCAGAAAGGGTCACGGGTGTGTTATATTTGGCAGGAGGAGATCTGAATTCCAGTGTCTGGGCTCAGAGATGATGCAGCCTAGAGCTGCAATGTGGATGTGGCACTGAGACACAAAGCAAGAGTGCAGGAGGCTTTGGGTTGGTTGAGGTGAGCTGGGGTTGGAGTCTAGGTAAAGGAAGGTGTGATCACAATTTGCTTCTTTTATGTACAAACACAGCAGATGCTTTAATCTCATCCTTCTCATCTTCCCAGCAGTGCTTTGAACATTCTCACCTGTCTGGCCCAGAGGTACATGACTCAGTTTGAACACAAGTCATTAGTGGTACTGCTGGTTGGTTTGTTTGCTCCCTTTCGAGAGCCAGCAGCCTCCTGTGCTGCCCAGTGCTCCGTTCCCTGGTGGGGCTGCCCTGCAGAGCTGCATGCCCTGTGTGCTCTGGGAGCTGGCAGGGGGCTGGGGCAGTGGCTGAGCCCCCAGCTGCCACTGGATCCCACAGTAGCAAGGGGAAGCAGTTTTCTGTATAAACCTTCTCTGATCATGCTGCTGAGCATCTTGGGATTCATTACACTAGACACCAATTAGTGTGCTACCCAGCAGCAGGAGTGTTAGACGCCAGATTTTTGGAAATGAGCTTTCAATTAGAATAAATCCTGGATAACTAAATGATTCAGTACCAAAATATACGGCCCAATTCTACTTCTGCTGGCTTCTGAACTCACAGGTACTTGCTCACTCACTGGTGCCAATTTCATTAGCACATCCACTTGCAGAAAATGTGCTCTCTGTAAATGTCAGAATAGTTACTGCCCTGAACAAAAAGTCTAACTTTAGTTTTTTTCCTTATTGCATTTGAATATTTACAGGCAAATGAGAGCTGAACCTGGCAGCTGGCAACTCAAGCTTGACCTGTCATGTACTGAGTACGATGGGAATGAGCCACGACAGATTTGTCATATTTAACAATGAGTTTGTCAGTGTCTTGTTAGCACTGGGGGATGTACTTCCATCACAGGATTTCCTAGAAGAGAGAAAAATCCTCATGCAAAATTAAGCACAATCAGGAAGTCTCGGTTTTGACACTTCTCAAAATCTTGAGCCCAGAGGCTATAAAAACCTGACTCCTAGATTTGGCAGCTCAGCAGAAGACTTGATGTGTTCCCTATGGATGTTTCTTTCATTTTGTTATTCCTGTTGCTAGCAGCTGCAGAGTGAATTTCCAGATCTTAGGTGTGTGGATTATCTGGGGGATAGGCTGCCCACTGGCTGCTGTCCCTTCCAGTCATTGATCTCCAGGCTCTTGCCTGAAAGTTTGACTTTAACTGTCCATATTCCCTTGCTAAAAGAGAAGAGGCAATAAATTGACTCTAAGGAGAAGGTGATTTAGGGTTTAAGGCCGGAGGGATGCAGTAGGTGTGTTGGGGAATCCAAGGAGCTGTGGGGGATCAGCTCCTTTCTGGACCCTACAGTGAGAAGTTGTGGCAGTTCCCAAATCCTCCAGGTAAGATGGAGTGCTGCGTTTCTTCCTTTACAACTGCAACCATAAAAGAGCGTTCCGCAGCCCTAATGAGACTGAAGTAATTAAGCACTTTGGTTGCAAAGTACAGCTTTGGGGATGTTTTTCTTAAACTCCTTTCTGTCTCTGCAGTCCTTGGCATGTAAAACAATCAGTGAAGCTATTTCTGATATTTCAGTAGAGCTTCCTGATGCCTTATCTGGGTATTAATCTTTACACTAAAAAGAATTTAAAAAGTGAAAAATTTCTCTTCAGTCAAATTTATGAACATTATTGATGAGGGTGAGCGTGAAAAGTGGATGCTAGAGCCACATGAGGGAACCATAGCATGCATTTCCTAAAACTCTGTGAGGTAACAGATACATGTTCATTTTTGTTGGATTGAAAGAGATTCCAGTCGGTTTTTGGCAACCAAGCAACAGAAATCTGCATCTACAAATCTGAGAATTCATTCTGTGAATCTTTAAAGGGAACAAGCTTTCCAACTACTAAAACTGTGATCTTTTAAAAAAAAATTATTTCAATTTTTCATAGTTATTTTCTCTATGGGCCGTTATAACAAACCACCAACTTTCCTTAAATGCAGTTTCAGACACTGACTTTACACCATTCTCAGTTTTGTCCTTACAATGGAAGCCATGCTGGAACCGGATTTGCTCCACCAAATGGGAGACTCTTTCAGCTTTCTCTCTTCACCTCCTTTTATTTCTACTGCAACAGGTTGGTCTTCTAAATGTCCTGCCTGTAAGTATTTCTCGAAGTGAGCTTCGATTCTACCTGCATCTTGGCTTAAATCCTGCTTAGGTCAGTTTGCGCTGAAGTTATGTGGATGAGAGGGAAGTGGAGAATGTCTCCTTCACCATCCAGGCTCTCCAAGTAGATTGCACAAGGTGATTCATGTCAAGGCTGCGTTTCCTTGAGGGCAATCAAATATTCTCTCTTTGTCTGTCCTTTGCAGCTCAACATCAACAATTCTTTTTTCAGCTTCTCTGGTCAATAGTGGATATATATCTTTTTAGGTCTTTATTACATCCCCAAATTGTTGGTTTTTTTGGTGTGTTTTTCTTTTTTTCTTCCAGGTCACAGAGCTCAATAATGTGAAGAATATATCACGGATGCCAAAAAGCACAAAGAAGCATGCTGTTGGGATCTACTTTAACGATGACACCTCTAAAACTTTTGCTTGTGAGTCAGGTGGGTAAAATGGCAATGCCCATGAGAGCATCAATTGTGAAATCATAAATGTATTATACCTACACACAGACTTTCTGGGCATTTATACAGAACTTGAGGCAGATGAGTGGTGCAAGGTATTGCAGATGGAGTGTCTTGGGACAAGGATTAATGACATTAGCCTTGGAGAGCCTGACTTGTTGGCATCAGGAGTGGAGAGGGAGCAGAATGGTATGTACATAATGTATTGACTTCTTAAGTCTTTTGTTACTTTATTTTAAAATCATTTGGACTGCACATAAGAACACAAAAAATAAATTGGTACCAAAAATTGGAACCAAGGAACCAAGTCCCCCATCCTGTTTTGTTTTGTTTTAATTGCCATCAGAAATAACAAGCATGGTAATAAGGTGCTGTAATTCAAGGCTTTAAAATTATTTTGGAATAGCACTTTTCCTCTCATACAATTTAGCTGACCTTGGAGAGGGAAACTGTATTTTCGTTGTGTGTTTTCTTATACTGTGTCTGTACAACAGTTTCAGCCTCTGACTGAAACTATTTATCAACATTGTTAAAGCAAATAATAAATAACAATAATTGCACTCAAAACCTGAGCTCTCAGCTACTTCATTTTCCTATGCAAATTAATTAATTATATGCACAAAAGCACTTGCAGTGTATTTATTCATGCACACAGTTGTATTAATATCAGGATTATGATGGTGCAGTTCTTCTGCATCTCAACACGTTCCCAAGTGTTTGCCCTTTCAGCTCAGTGTTTTGATTGCTCCAAACATTGAGTTAGTTGAGTTGTTGGAAGGAATTGAGTCTTTATTTTTGCAGTAATTGTTTGAAGTTAAATAAGATCTTTTAATAGAGGTGGAAAATAGGAAATTCCTTTAATGACTTCGACAGTTAACGGGCAGGGATTTTAGACTAACCTTTTGTTTTTCTCCCAGAGAGATTCAATGTGTATTTGATGCCATCCCCTAACTTAGATGTGCATGGGGAATGTACCTTGCAGATAACATTTGAGAATATCTGTCTTTGGGACATCCAGAATCCCAGAGTTAAACTCGTCTCTTGGCCATTAAGTGCCCTCCGACGCTACGGACGGGACCCTTCTTGGTTCACCTTTGAAGCAGGGAGGTAGGTGTGTGTTTGTTGCAGTGCATCACCTTCCTCCATCATTCTGAAGTAGTGGAGAAGGGGGTCCTTGTTTTTGTTAATCACACTCCTGCTTTCCATCTGTTATGACAAATGCGTTTATAAGAAACATAAATGCAGTTCCTCCTTCTAGAGTTGTTGTTCCTTATCGCTTCCTGCAGCTTGAACTTAATGAACTGAAGTCTTGGTGTGGCTGAGGCTGGAGCACCTGTTGATTGAACTAAACTCCCAAATCCTTTTTAAAGGCTGTGGTTGCTTTATTTTAGATAAGCACATTAAAGAATTACAATCGTAAAAGAGAAACACATCGTACAATTAACATATCTGGAAAGAGAAGAGGCATTTAAACGTCCATCCTCTGTACTGCTGAAGAATTTAGTTCTCTCAGGAAAAGGGATGTGTTTTTAGTTCTCTGATTGTGCATTAGCTGTGGTAAGACATTACCGTTGGGATGCTGAGGATAACGTGTTTAGGGTTTCAAGTGAAAGACAAAGCTCATTACAGGCAATATTAAAGCCCTGAAAGGGGAAGAAGGAAAATTAATCCCCTCTTTTAAGTCTAAATTTCAAAAATCTGGGTTTTGTGCATCAACTCTCTAGAGCTCATGCACTTTCAAGGGTTGTACTCACCTGAGTCTGTGTTTGGCCAAGGTGTGGGTTAAAACAGTAAGATTGTGCTAGGGCTGTTAAAGCCCGTGCAAATAACTTTCTTCAGTTCTTCAACAACCTTTGTTTCATTCTGCTTGTGCAGCGATGGCTCTAAAGCTGCACGGCGCAGTGCTACAGATCCTTGCGAGCAAGTGAAAAATCTCACATCTGGCTCCTGTCTGCTCTCACTTTGGCAGGATGTGCGACACAGGAGAAGGACTGTTCATCTTTCAGACACGAGATGGGGAAGCAATCTATCAGAAGGTTCACTCAGCTGCTCTGGCCATAGCAGAACAACACGAGCGCCTGCTGCAGAGCGTGAAAAATTCAATGGTATGGCTGTGCGCTCCGCTTGCTATTTCACATAAGTGAGCGATGCCTCAGTGTGACTTCCTTTAGATTCACAGGCAGAAAGCAGTCTGAGTATTGCTCTTAGTAAATTAGTCTCAATTATTATATTTAGGGTAGTGTTTGGATCCTTGAAAAGCAGTCCCAGTTACAAACAACAAGGAAATGTATAGTCTTTGGTATCTGTGGTTGGAAAGCCACAAGTGTGATTTAATACAGAGATGATGAGCTCCCATCAATCCGTAGTTTCCTTTCTCATTAACTTATTCTAATTACTTATTCTAATACTATTAGAATTAGTATTCTAATTAACTTATTCTAATAACTCACCATCATGAGTTTGTTTAGAAACATTTCTCATCCATCTATTTGCAGAATGTGGCTCGTGCTCAGTTTTTTGTTTAATTGATGCCTACGCTTCAAGCATGACTTGGAATGAGCTGTATGGCTCAGGTTAACCTGTGGGAGGGAGGACTACATGTTTGTCTGATCTCTTGGTGGATGCCTGTTTTTCACAAGTGCTTTTTGTGTCTGAAACTCATTTTATGATGCTCATTACCCCTAGAAAGTATAGGAGTATAAGGTGCAAAGTTAACCTACAAACTGAGAACAGATAGTGTGGGATCTCCATATGTGATGTCAAAAGAAGGTAGTTTGATGATACTTGTACGTAGCATGTTTCCAGGTCTTATTTTGTATGTTTTCTCATGAATTCTGTGGGGTCAGAAGGAATCTTCTGTTCATCCTGTGTCCACAGTCAGTCTCTACACTGTAGGACTCTCAGACTTTCTAGAATGCATAAAATGTGCAGAATGGACAACTGTGGAAGAGCCTGGCCATATGCAACTTCTCTACTTCAGGCAGTACTAATTGGTTCATGCAATCTGCAGTGAAAACTGTCTTTTCCTTTCTATGAAAAGTGCTGCTGTTATCCACATCCATGTCTAATCCTTTCAGTAGTTCTACTCATTTCCTGAACTTGAGACAGAAAGGAAGTCAAATCTGTGATAGGAAGCTATTTCTCTTAACAGTATAATGAGGAGGAACAACAGAAAATTATTTTCAAGTGTTCTGACAGACTTTGTGTACTACATAGCTGCTTCAGCCCAACATGCAGCTGGATGGTCATTCTGTCATCGATTGTAGAGCAGGTGAGCAAATGAGTGAGAAAGCACAGAAGACTCGAATCTGTTTAGGGGTAATGCAGGCCACGTATGCCCATTTCCTGCAAGGAACAGACCAGTTAGCATGGCAGTTTCCAGTTGGTGCTACCCAGTTAACTTCTGGCTGGTGTCACCTCAGTGAAGCCGTGTCCATGAGGACAAGTACTGACCCAAAGCCTGTCTTGTTCAAGAATGCCCAAAATTCCTTGATTTGAGACAGATGGGAGATGATGTAAGCATGCATCGGTAACTAACTGAAACAGATTGGAAGTAGCCTAGTCTACGTCAGCGTACATAGCAAACATTTGTAGCAAACCAGCATCAGATGGGACTGAGCAAGCTGTTGAGAGCGTGAATTTTGTTTGTTTGTTTGTTTGTTTGTTTTAAAAAAAGGCAATTCATTAGCTTTTACCTCCTGAAGTGAATAGGTCTTCAGGCTATTTCATATTAGTGGTTTTGCATTCATGTAGTAGCATCTTTAATACACGGTGTCTGACAGCATGCTGTAAAATTTGTTTTACAAGTGCCCATACATTCAACAGATGCACAATTGCTATAGATTTCAGCAGAGAGCAGCTGTACAACCTCAGAAGCTTTTTCATGAACACTGTGTCCAACCACAACCCCTAAATCTAGTTTTATAGACCCAAGAGCACTAAACAGGAAATAAGAACATATTCCCGTCGAACTGAAAGCCGTGTAATTTAAGATCTGAATATAATTGCTTCAGACAGGTCCATATGCCCATGAATATAAGTCTCCCAAGTCTGTCATAGAAATGTCTGGTCCCAATATAGTCAGGCTTAGTTCCTTCTTAAGGTTTCAAGGTTGCTCAGATTTAGGAGTTCAGACAGAAGATCGTTACATTAATGCAGAGATCAGATAGCTGCTTTTGCTGATCACAGGATACCTTGTGAGGGTCATCTTCATTGTTCAGGTTGATTGATTTTCTTGGTACTTTAATTCTGCTTGAACACTTCCAAGGGGAGTCTATATGGAGGCTTGCACTTCACGCCCAGCGGTCTGAGCTGCATTAGGTTGTTTTTGTCTCTAAGAATTAATAACCCCTTGTGATTTATTTTTTTTAATTGTGTTAGTGAAGCTAGAGCTACTATTTACAGAAAAGATAAATAAGAGATGGGAGATACTGGTAGTGAGACATGAAGTCTCCTCTGAGTGGCTTCTGAATCACAGAATCACAAGGTTGGAAACCTCCTGCAAGATCATCCAGTCCAACCACCCTCCCATTCCTATTAGTACCACAAGCTACTAAACCAGATCTCATAGCTCCTCATCCAGGTGCCTCTTGAACACTGCCAGGGATGGTGACTCCACCACCTCCTTGGGCAGGCCATTTTAGTGCCTGACCACCCTTCTCCTTTCCCCTGGCTGCTGCTACATCAGTGAGGTGAGCATGGGAGACAGGGCTGTGGTGCTGAGCACCTGAGAGCGCTTGGGGGCTGAGCAGTAAGGGGGTGTTGGATGTCCCACGTTGGTAAAGCAAATGGAGCTGCCAAGTTCTGCTGAGCGTAGGCTGTGATGTCTGACACCTCCCCAGCAGCCTCGTGCTCCATAGCTGAGTGTGTTGGTGCAGTGTGGCTGTATCTGCCTGTGGATGCTGCAAGGATTGTAGGAATGAGCAAGGTGGGCTTCCTCAGCCAGAGCCTCCTCCTGACAGCCTGCTGTGTGTGATGGCATTGTGGTGAGGTCTGATGTGCTGATCAGGGTCTGACACACATTCACAAGTGGGCTTCGGTTGTTTTGCTTTCCAGTGAATTCAAAGATTTCTTTTTTTAAAGAAGGAAAGAGCAAATTCTGCTTAGCGATGCATGAAGCTGTTCTGGTCAGTGGCAACTCACCTTGTCCAGCTGCTCCTTTTCTGCATTGCCAGACAAAGAAATGAAAATACCTATTCAAATTGCAGGCATATTTTCTTTCCTTTTCGAGCAACCTTCAAAGCTAACTCGGAAGAAAGCTAACTCTTAAGCAGGCAGTAGTTTTGCCTCCTGTGCTAGTTTCACTAATTGCTAAGAAGAGAGTGAGAGGCTGTGGATTAGGTGCACTCCAATTAACAAGTTATTCGTTATATTAATGGTATGTGGAGTTTTATGTCTTGCTTGATCCTCTGCTTGCAGCCACTGCCCATGCATGCTCCAGCACGGAGTTCTGGCTGGCTTTGACCTGCTTATGGTACTCGGTGCCTCTGTGGAATAAAGCCAGGCCATTAGCAAGCAATTCCTGCTTCCTCGGTTGCCACAGAGATACAGTGGGCTAATTGTGAGAATGAAATCCATCATCATTATAGCTGCTTTTGCTCACAGTCTGAGGTGTTTTGATGAAGTGCTATGTATTCAGGACATAACATATTCGTTCTTTTCCCCAGCTGTGGGTTTTCTAATTCTTTCCCATGCTGATTGAGATCAGGTCAGGCATCTCTTCTGCCCCTTCTGTGTCTTTATCTTCTTTCTCAGGCAGTGTCTTTTTCTCCACTGATACCCTCCTGGCTGTTGCTGTCCTCCTGGCAGCTGGGCTGTGGCTCAAACCACCTGAGTTTGCTGCCCGACTCACTTGTGAGTGCACCAGCCTGGAAGTGCCATCAGTGAGGAAGCACATTCTGCTCTGGCCGTGGGTCTCTCGTTTGTTTCCATGGAGCTGTTGTGTGTGGTGACACCACAAGTGATGTTGGGGCTTCAGTGATGGAACTGTGATAAATACTGTGTGGTGGAGGTGGCAGCTCGTGCTGTGCAGTGACTCACCCTTCCAACATGGGGGTGTGTGTTCTAAGAGCAAAGGTTGATCTGGGTTTGCTTTTGTTTTTGTTTTGATTTCCCTTGACGTTGCAGGCACAGCATCCACCATACAGAGGGAGTTTGAGGGTTTTCACCCCTCTAAAGAACCTCAAAATGGCTCTTCAGTAACAGGCAGCTCTCTTGTAAAAGGTTCTGTCACCTCAGGTTTTGTGAAACTATAATGTAAGAGCTTGCTCTTTTCCTGAAAAGCATTTTTATAAATAGAAAAGATCAAGTACAGGTTTGGTATCTTCAAACTAATGTTTTTCTGAGCTTTGGAAAAAAGAGAATTTTAGTTCTACTATGAAGTTTATGATAAAACCCAGATATTATTATCAGCCAGCATATGCATACTACTGAATTCATGTGAAACATGTCTAATCAGGTTCTTGGTGTGCTGAGGTTGTACGTAGCTTTGGGAAGCTGCTTACGTAGTTGCTGCGTAGCTGTCAGAGGAGGAGCATTTTTCTGCCTCCCACTGAACCTCAGTTTCTGTTTCAGCTACTTGAGTTAGACCTCCCTGCAGAGGCAGCAGTGCTGGCGCAGGAGCAGGGCAGCACGAAGGTGAGCTCTGGTGTGCAAAGCAGTGTGACTTCCTAACGTGTGGTGTGTGCCCCCAGCCTAACCCCAAGTCAGTCCCTGCTGGCTGCAGGATGGGCAGATGGACAGAGGGTGACGCCGTGCTGAAATGCCATTAGAAATCTTTTCAGGCAGTGGTTGCGCTCTTCCCTGAGGACCTTCAGTGTGCACAACTGCTTCCTTCATATCTGTTTACTGCTTTACAGCTTCAGATGAAGATGAGCGAGCGAGCCGTGTCCCTCAGCACCATGGTGCCCCTGCCCCGCAGTGCCTACTGGCAGCACATCACACGGCAGCACAGTACCGGCCAGCTCTACGGCCTGCAAGGTAAGGAGGAGTTGGGGAGGGCTGCTGAGGCAGGGCAGTGTCTCTTTATCTCTCTGAACACTGATGCTCAGTCTCAGCCAGTTGCCACTGCTGTCGAATTAATGGAGGGAAGTGCTTGTCCAACCTGAGTTGGAGAGGTTGGCATCAGAAGGATGCTCGTCTTGCTTTTCAGTGGAGGGGTGACTTCATGGCATGGTTTTCTCTCTAGATCTGTGTGACAGGGACAGCAGGTCCCTGGGCCAGAAAAGGGGAAAGGGAATGAAAAGGAAAAAAAGAGAAATGGCAATGATCTGAGGAGGAAAACAAACTTTGTTTACTAATTAGGATTGAAACTAATAAATAGATGACAGTTTCTGAAAAATTGAAGTTCTTACTCTGAGCCATCAGGGAGCAAAGAGAGTCTCTTGGCTTCCACTCAGTTTCATTTTTCCCTCTCCCTGGAAGATGGAAATGAAAAGTGAGGTCTTCTGGGATCTGTAGTTAAACCACGGAAGGCAAGAAGCTGTGGTGAAGCTGGGTCCACTCCTGGTCCTGGACTTGGTCAACAGTTTATGCCTAATATGTCCACAATCAATGTAAGGCAGGACCTTACTGAAGCTAACAAGGCCTAAAACAATGACTTACCGAGGGTCCGTACCGGCAAGGCGTCTTGGTGTGGAGACGGGAGGGATCTCCGTGCAGGCACAACTCCAGGAGGGCTGCGGGGTTTTTCCGGGGGGCTTCTGTCCCGGCTGCGCTCCGCGGTCCCCGGGGGCCATCTAGTGGCACCGCGCTCCCCGGGCTGTGGGATGGGCTGCAACTGGTGCTGATGGGCTAGGAAGGAAGGAAGGATCGGGGTATGCAGAAGAGACCGCGGAGAACAGACGGGACGCGTGGTGCAGGTGGGGCAGCCGGATGCTGAGGGGCAGAGCTGTGGCTGGCTGCGGTTTCTTCTCGCAGCGTGTAGACGGATGGAATAAAGCTGTGCTTGGGAAATCTTACAGCGGTGGTGATTTGATTTATTTATTTATAGCTTTTTTTTTTTTTTTTTTTTTTTTTTTTTTTTTTTTTTTTAGTCCTTCAGGTAGGAGGAGAAGTAATGATTCTTAGATACTCATTTTACACGTTTAAATTAAGCAGGAGGCTCTGACTTCTGCAGAGCACGGAGTGTCAGCGGTTGTAGTTAAAAATCCAGGGCTGACACCCGACACAGGCGGCTGCGCTTCATTCTCATCCCTCTGGCAGTAACAGCTCGTCGTTTTGTCCCGTTCCTTTTTTCGAACGCTAGAGGGGGCATGCAGCGCGTGGAAAGCCCCAGCGAAGCCTCTGCCGTGTTTCGGACGGAGGGAAGAATAACGCAATAGAAGCAGCACGCGAACGCCTGTTGGCGCTGGTTCGTACCGGGATGCGGGCAGGCGATGCTGTGATACACGGGAGCGGCTTGAGCCCTTCAGGCACTGCTATGGCTGTGCATTGGTGTATTTTTAGTTATTAGTGCAGTCATTCAGCACTGTGTTGACTCAGCGTAAATAGGCCGTATGGGGACAGACCACTCGTTTTGAATTTAGAACAGCTTGTTAAACTGGAAAGGGGATCCTTGGAGGTTGTGGTCATGAGAAAGCAGTAGAAGTCTTTGAAAAGTCCTGGTCTTTGAGAAGGAAAAAATAAAGCCGTGCAGGCAGTGTTGTAATCAGGATAGATAGTGAAGTCGTCTCTTTCGGCTGTTGGGGACTGTCCCAGTGCCACCCTGAGCATCTCCAGTTAAAGCACATTGCCCAAAGCTTCAAATGCTTCAATTCATATTGAAAATCTGAGTGGAGCTGTTTCTGAGATGAAGCAGCAGGTTAATTATACCTATCCCTACTTTAAGGACGTAAGCTGTAGTTTACATAGTGATCTACAGGGCGCTGAGTACAGTTGCTGTGCCTCACTGAGCGCTGTTCTGTTTTTCATCCCGGCACACACCAGATGTCTCAAGCCCTGTGAAGCTCCATCGGACAGACACGTTTCCAGTCTACAGATCAGATCATCGATAAAGGGCTGCCAGGAACTTTACAAACTCTTTGTCTTCTGATGTGCTGCCCTGGTACCGGGATGACACGGATGATGCAAAGCGAGGATAGAAACACTGAGAAGTGTGAGCTGGATGGGAAGTTACTGCAATACGAAGGTGGCGTGTCGTCTTTTGTTCTGTTTTTCTTTCCAACTTTGCCAAAAGTTAAAATGATTCTGTAGAGACTGGGGGTGTGAACAAAACCATCTCACTCTGCAGTGGTTCTTTTCTATCCTACAGCTGGACAGACAAGTTGCTCCCTAAATATTTCCAAATGTTTTTGTATGATACCTATGTTGTAAATAGAAGACTTTCCTGTTGTAGTGTGGTTTTATCCTGTCCGTTACAGCTGTCATCCTTGTTTGTAATGCTTATTTCAGTTTTTAACGTGACTGTTCAGCATAACCCCCGACCTTTGAAATAGTGGCCAGTTTTAAGCAGCTGTTGGATTTCAATCTTTTCCTGTTTGAAACCCCAATGGAGACTTGGTTTGTTTCTATTAAAAGCTCACTCTCTGTCGTCTGTTTCCTGTATTTATTTCCATCCCTGTAAATGTTTGAAATAAAAGCAATTCCCAGTTAATTGGTGGCGCAGTGCTTCGTGTTGTCACCACCAGCACAGTGAGCAGAGCTGCTGCAAAGCCGAAGGGACAGCGGGGGGGGGGGGGTCAGCTCCTCTCATTGAAGTGTGAGGGAGCAGACAGAGCAGGACTCTCACAATGCAGAAGATTTTCCTGTTTTGTGACCATAACCACAGCATCTACCACTGCCATACAGGCACCTTAATTCAAGAGAAGAAAAAGACTTCCAAATTAGCTTGGTTGGTTTTTGCACAGTGGCCAGAAGAAAAGAGGATAGAAGGCTGTGATTATCCTGATTACAAGTGAAGCCCTGCATTTAACTGAATGTGTTTAAGTCATTAAGTTTTGCTTGCTTGATGGGGGGGGCATAAGTAAATTGTTTCATTATTTCAGTGGAACAGCTGTATTTCTGTGGGTTGTTTTTTTTTTTTAAATGTTTGGACTGTTGTTGATATTCAGAATTAAAATAGTTAGCATTTAATTCCGCTTTCCTTCTCACACCTTACAGCAGAAAAGCACAATTAATATTTAAACAGGTGAACAACTCTTGAAGCTTGTGACTCGCAGCCAGAATGTCGTTAATTTAAATAATCACTCAGATAAATGAATGCAGTAAGAGTTGTATCCCAGTCCTGCTGCTGAGCAGATCTGGAAAATGCATGATAATAACAGCGCTGCCTCAGGCGCTGGGGTCGGGGTCACGGTGTGGTGTTTCTGTGTATTCATTAACTTTCACAAGGGCAGATTGATCTTCTGTTTTTCAGGAGCAGTAATGAACCATTTTCTTATTTTTAGGGAATATTCTATCACTGCTTCTAGCCACGTAGCACTTAAAGACAAGCTGTTTGCAAACAGGAGGTTCTAATTAGAACTTGGGTCTCAGCTGCATTGATTGCACTGTGCTTCTTGGGTATTTGGGATTTACAAGTGCCAGGAAATCAACTTGCCAGGGAGAAGGTTTGCGTTGTGGTGGTTTTCTCTCCAGCATGTAGCCCACACACCCTTCTGTTTTCTGACAAGCCTGTAGAAGGGCCTTAGCTGCAGACATGCAGGCTGGGTGGTTCTGTGCTCGGGTATCTCCCCAGCTCTCTGCCTTCTAAATGCTCTGGAAACATTAGAAATAGAAGATGTGAGGGGTTTGGTTTGTCCTAGGCTGACTAAAATAAATGCACAGCCTCTCTGTGAGGTGAATGCCTGCCATTTCTCTCATTTCTCTGGTTGCCATTCCTTACTATCGTGTCCTCTGCTTTTACATTCTGCTGAGAGCTTAAAGCTAGCATATAGTCTGCAGAACTGGACAGGCTGCTTCAGTGTAGTGTGTGAAATCGTGCTTACATGAGATTACAGCTTTCAAGAAGATATAGTCCACATTTTGAGATCACTGGATAAAAGTCAGTACGAAATAGAAGAGCACTGGCAATGAGAAATTCACTTGTTAATTTAATTTATCCTATCTCACTTACTGACTGAGCAGAGGGCTTAGTTTTACAGAGTGAGATGAAATATCTGCAGACCAAATATAGAAAACCTTTTGTGCTGAAGGCATTGCATGCTCTCAGAATATATGGTCCATAAAACTGAAGTACATAGTTGCATAAATATTTATTTCTCCATAAACGTATAATGATGCACCTGAAAGCCACACAGTATTAATGGTGCATGATCTCTATTTTTGGCACATTTAGTCAAATTAAAGCATACCTACATTTAGCATGAATGAAGCACATGACTATAGCTCTTCAATGCAGGAGGGGAAAAGATAGCAATGTCAGATTGATAGCTGCTCTGCCAGCTGTGAAGGATGCGGAGCTGCAGCTGCTGGAGGGCTCTGCTGTCCCTTTGGTGCCATTGAAATCTGACCTACTGAAAACCACACTTGAGTTTGGGAACTATGTCACTTGGGTAGAGTTCTGTGGTGGGTTTAGCTGGAGTTAATTCCCAGCTCATCTTCTTTCTGGGGCTGCTGGCACAGGCCATCCAAAAGCAGAAGCACCAAGCAAGGGCAGCGATCTCTTTCAGTGTTGGTGCTGAGCTGTGGTGGCTTATGAAGATCACTGAGTCGTGGTGTGAAGCTCTGCCTGAGTCAGAAGTGAAACAAAGGGAAGGTAGGTGATAACGTTCAGGGGTGAATTCTGAAATTAAACCTTTGCATGAATCATTATCAAGAGCACTTTTGGTTTTGTGTGTTGTTCAAGTTTATTTTGTTTCACTTTATTGTTGCCAAACAAGGGTAGGACTGCCCATTAACTTCAAACCAATTAGGCTTGTGTTGTTTTATCACTGACAAAGGCTTTTTCATGCCAGGTGGGGAGAATTGGGCTGGAAAACACTTGTCTGTAAGATAACTGGAATTAAGAACCCTTGGGTAGAGGCACTTGTGGAAGATTGTTTTGTGCTTTTGTTTGTATTCTTTCCCTGGGGATTCTCGTCCTGCTGCAGTGTGTTGTTTTACTGAGGAGCAGGCGTTTAAATCAGAGCACCAAGCAGATGACATCAGGAAGGATTGGTTGTTTCTGGTGTCAGAGCTCCTCCAGGCTCTCTCCTGGAGCTGCGCAGCCCCAAATAAAAGCTGACATTTGAGCAAACCCAGGTGATGTTTGTGTTATTTGCAATAGTCATCTCCTGATTCAGCTTTACACTGGGAAATTGAACAACTGAGCTGCTGAAGGCAGCAGGAATCCTTTCCTCTGGAATAGCTGGGCTGTGGTCAGGCAAGCTTCTGTTAACACCCTTGGGGCTCATCACCAAACAGCAATGGCATTATTACCAGCTGTCACTGCTGATGTCCATGTGAACATTAGGTCTGAAACACACAACACAAATCAAGAAATCCAAGTCCAGTGAAACAAGAAAAGAAAATCCTGGGAATGGAAGGTTCACATTGCAATTTTGAATCTATTTGAATCTACTGATAGGTCGGTGGTACTTCTTTATGTATTATTTGGTGATATCACTGCTACTTAATTTGTTTGGTCAAGATTAGGGGATTCTGAAGAATAATGCTATCTTTTTATTAACAGTATTTATGTAATGCAGGTTGGGATGCCAGAGAATGAGCCATGCTACATTTGCATGCAGTCTGGAAGCCCCAGAAACAAGAATGTTGAGTTACTCATGTTATTTTACTAGCATCAAACCCAGCAACATGCTGATAACTTAAATATCCATTTCCTCCCTTCGCAGCGTAGATCGAAGATAGAATTCATTCCATCAGGGAAGCACCCTCAGGAAATCCAGAGCTGTTGGCTGCAGCAGAGCTGAGCATAGAACACCTTTGGATCTATCAGTATGTGTATCATTCCTGATGAGTCTTTAATCACCTCCACCCGATCTGGGGAGACAGGAATCTCCTGTTTTTTCTTTGCAGAATGAGTGGTGCAGATTTTTATTATTTTATTCAATTTTTTTACTTTATTATTTTTAATAAATAGAATCAGCACTCAGTATATCCTGTATACTGTATACCAATATGACCAGTAACTAACTGCCCTTGCAGTAGACATAGAATGCAGTTTGGTTTTGTGCGTGGTCAGATGTGGCAATTGAGTCAGGGGGAATGATGAGCCACGAAAGCCGTTGCTACCTTGTGGAAACCTGCAGATTGCCAATAATTTAATAAAACATGTGCTGCCTTAGATCAAATACTCCTCCTTTTGCTCTGCAATGAAACTGTGAGATCTGAGCAGGAGGAGTGCTGAGACATTGTGCTTTCTGAATCAGGAAATTGCTGAGTACCTACAATCATCAGCTGCTTCGCTTATTCTTGGTAGCGGGGCGTATCTGTGTTTAAATAGATGTTATGGTTCTGGCTGTAAGCAGGAAATGAAAAATAAAGTAGAAAGAAAAAAAAAACCCAACAACTCCATTGGAACAGAAAAATAAAAGCAGATGATTTCCAACCAACTGTTAAAAAGTGAGGCACTGAATTTTAGAATATAAAACGCAAAGCCAATACCAAGAGCTGCTCTTGCTGGTGGCACTGCTGGGGCTGGCAGGGGAGCTGGGCAGTGGGCTGATGGCTGCAGCATGGCACACACGCAGCTGTCCTGTGTATTATGAGCACCTGCAGGGTGAGTTCACATAGGGAGCGAATGATGCAGTGCATCACTATGTGGTACTGACAACTTTCAAATTATACATGCCCAATATTTATATCGATTGGTTGCGGAACGAATGCTTCAAAACTAAATTCCCATTTTGGTTGCTTTGTAAGGCGCACAATTGATGGCCCAGTGATTCTTCCTGTTCCCTTTCCTCCCGGCTCCAACCAAGCACAGCAGATGGTTACATTTACTGCTTCACCTCAGAGCACAGAGGAAGGCGCTGACTCTGCCATTATGCACTGAAATCCACATCTGACCCAAAGGACTGCAGCAGGAGCAGAGCCAAAAAAGAGCCCCATTCATTAACATGATCTCATTCCCACAGGTGTGATTTTGCTGTTTCTTCCCTGGAATCTGCAGAATTTGGGTTGGTGGTAACCAGTCAGTTTCCTTGTGGGAATGGGCTGAGTGGAGAGACTTGTGGGCTGTGAATTCATGAAGATTTTTCTTGGATTTATTACAGATAACATTCATGCTTATTTGCTATTAAGTATGAGGGAGGTTGTTTTGTGTTGTGGTGTGCTTTCCATTCCTTGAAGGATGCACATTACATAATTCTTTTCATGCTGCACTCAAAGTTAATAGGCTAATTAATTTGGTGCCAACGCCTAGCAAGAATACTTAAATCTCATAGCATAATCATGCTGGGGTCAGGTAAGGTGGTGGTTGTGGCTTTGCTTCTGTATCTCCTATAGGACTTAATGGTATGAATTACACAGAGTGATGCCATCAGAGGGGCTGCTCAGTGCAGAGCCCAGCAGTAGAAAGGCACAGCCCTGGGTCACACAGTGTGCACATGGCAGGAGCGTGGTGCTGTGTGTGCAGGCAGTGGCTCCAGGTGACTCTCCATGCACTGAAATGTCTGCCTTTGGACAGCAGAGATTGAATCCCTGGAGTAACGAAAGTGCCAAATGCAAAATAATATCAAATGCCTCCTTTATTTTGATAACAAATGTGCTCAAGAAGGTCATAATGCAGCTGAACAACTGGCACACCTTCACAATGACAGTGGTAGGAGCAAAGGACCAGCATGGCTCTTGCAGTGACTCTCTAGCAGCAAGTGGGGACTTGTTGCACTGTACAGACTCAGCTCCAATGACCTGGTGGGGTAAAGTGGCTGAAATCCACTCCCCAGGAAACTTCACATCTATGGGTGGAAAGCTGCCGTTGCTGCTTATCTGCCAGCTGGAGTCTCTGTGAGCTGTATTTCTTTCTTGAGCTTGTTATCTGATTTCAGTTCTGTCAGTGAGATGATTCCCAAATACCCTGAGGGATGTTCTTCATTCGGGGTGTTCATTGTCTGTAAATGCCCCCAGCCCCATATATTTGTTTTCTGCAGACTCGAGTCTGAAAATGAAGCAATAAACTCTGCAGTTTGTTGTAGCTGTGCAAAATCTGCAATCTGATTTATTAATTCACCTATTCTGAGGGTTTTGTTTTCAGTGCTGTCTGCTGCAGTTCAAAGGGTCCTCTGTGTTTCCTTTTCAGTATTTTCCCCCTAAAGCTACAACTGTTTTTTCCCAAATGCACTGTTCATGCCATTCACCTGTCATCAGCTCTTCCACAACCCTAAATAACCCAGCAACAAACAACTCCCAAACAAAAGCAAAGATCTTGATAGGTGTAAATTATTACCACTTTTCAAAAGTCATCTTGGTCTGCTCGTGATTTCTAACCTCATTAACAATAGTACTGAATAGTATGAAAGGACTTCTTTGCACATTTGACATAAAGGACTTCTATAATAGAAGCAGTAGTAAAGGAAATGTCATTTTAACTGTTTGGGGTTGTCCTTAGGATTTATCTTTGCTGTGGGCTTAAAGTAGTCTTGCCCTCATTTCCCTCAAACTCCTCTACCCTCTCTGCCTGTGCTCCAGGGTCCTTTTACAGGACTGGAGCACAGGCAGAGGAAGAACAAACATCAGAGGCAAATCATGCAACCAATTGCATCCTACTTGGCCTTCATACAGATCGTGGTACTGTTACCTGTGAAAGGTACTGACTTCAGATAAGGAGCATTTCCATCACAGAAGTCACAGAATCACAGAATCACAGAATTGTAGGGGTTGGAAGGGACCTCCAGAGATCATCGAGTCCAACCCCCAACCAGTGTGGAAGAGAATAATTTTTGGTCCCAGAACCCTCCTTTGATGACACTTAAGTGCACCATGCTCGTCTCCTAACTACCAAATGTCTCTCCAGGAAACTCATGTTGAGTTCTCCCATTAGAACTCAGTGTTACTCAGAAATAAGTGTTCTGCTACTGGGTTCTCAGGGATCACTGTGGATAGCTACCATACAGAGATGCTATCAGCTTCAGATAAATGCATTACAGTCCAAGAAGCACGCTGTATACTTTGGCTTTTTGGTAAATATTGATGTTCCTTATTCAGTAGAACACAAAAAATCAGGTTTCTTAACTGAGCTCTATCAGTCTCCCATAAATATTTCTCGTTCCTTTGGACTGTTTAAGTATACACAGTAAAAGAACATTTTTTAAGTGCCTGAAATGCCTGTGTTATACACTGGATAATAAAGAACAACAGAATTTTGTCTCTTTTGAAACAGAACAGTGAATTTTGCCTGGAATACTGCTGACCCTTTTGAGGCATCTGATTGCCAACATAATGGGTCTCGATGGGGATTCATAGCTATTATTTTTCAAGCTACAGTTTAAAATTTGGAAGTCATACAACAAAATGTTTTCCCAGGCTCAGACACCTCAATAGTCTTAAAAGTGATCAGGTGGAAGCCACACAAAGACCAAAATTAACTGCAAATCCCACCAACTCACAACCTTCAAGTAAAGTAATCCTGAAGCAGTTTTTGCTTTATTTCCTGAAAGTGAAGACTTTAACTCTTCTCTCCTTCTGTGCTGCAAGGTCCCAGGTAGGTTTGGGAGTAAGAAAAATCAGGCTGAGGGTTTCAGGCAAATCTGAGGGAAATGAGAGGTGGAATGTAGCGTGTGGCACACTGCCATCCTCTGGGATTATATTGGACAGTACTGTTTGGGTGCATAAACAAAACTGTCTGCAAGCAGTGGCTGCTTGTTGGCTAGTCTGTCTGTCCCTGCTGAGACATCTGAGAGGGAGGGAAAAGGATTTCTTTGGGATCCTATGGCTCCTCACTGGAATTTCTTATGTGTTCCCTATAGCACTGCATTTTACTGTGTATCTCTTAAGGTGTCTTTTACCAAGAGCTTCTGTCTTGTTGAGTTCAACATGGATGGGAGGAGGTGTCACAGTCATGTTGGACATCAGTGTGGTCTGAAAGAACAAATCTGATGTTCAGATAAAGCTATGTAAATTATTAATGGAAAGCTTGTCAGATCTGTTCAAGATAGTACAGATTGACATAAAAATAAGGTATTTGGAGCTGGCAAGTAAGGAAGTAACTGAAGGGTTTTGTTTCATTTATTGCTATCTTTGCCTCAGAAATATTAAAAAGATGAATAATGGTGAATTTCACTGGTTTCGGAGAAATCAGAGCTAGAAGGTTGCAGAGTGCAGAAGGGGAGACCTGGACTCACCCAACTTTCAATAATTTCTATTGCTATCTGTACTCAACTGCATGAACTGTTCAGTGCATCAGCCCAATGCAGTGAAAACAATGCTCCTTAATTTCATGGCAGCTCAGATACAGGAAATTTGGGCAGCAATGTGCCTGGGTGTTCAAGCCTGATGTAATGCAGTGATTCTCAACAAGTTCTAAGGTGAAGTCATCACTACTGCTGAAACACAGCCTCCGTTCCTTCTAAACACGGTGTGTGGCACAGAAAGGGCAGGTGATTACTGTTTCACCACAAAGTCAAATATATTTGCCCTTTTTATTAAGTACTCTGGCAGCAACCAAGAGAAAATGACTCAATTTGCGATTCAATTAGGTCCTTAAAGACGGTGATACCACACAGCCATTTCATTAAGCTTTTGGTTTTTAACTTAATTAAATGTTAATGTTCCAAGCTAATTCCTCATACACAAGAGAGAACCGATCAGAGAAAGACTCGTATCTCATCATCAGCCAGTGCTGGAAATCAGCAGGGGACAGTTGGATCCATGACATAACTTAGTGCAGCAATAAGGCTGTTTTACTTCGGCCAGAGCGCTTCGCTCAAAGCCAATTTGTCAGCTTCAGACCTCAAAGTTCAGCTTACCAACTCAATGCCCTCTCACTTTGATCCTGCCTTGATGTAGAATTGCTTGTTCTAGCTAACAGGAGGAGACTTCGTGCACAACTAGGCGTGTGGAATCGCCAAGTCACGGCCTGATCCAGCAATTGAGCACCTGGTGAAAGAACGCAGCCAGCCCTGGGAGCACAGGTGAAAGCAATTCAAATACTGGAAGGGGTGGAATGTGGTCCCACCCCTCCCTAAGCCTCATTTAAGGGCTGGCTGCCACAGGGGTTGGCTCTCTACCTGGAGATCCTTCCTTTTGGAGTATTCTGTGAGCCCTACCTTGGGGCAGGTAAGTCAGTCTTTTTTTTCTTTAATTTGGTTGTGCCTATCACTGTTTTTTTGGGTAGTTTAGAACTGGTTATCAGCTGTCACCTTTCCCTGTGTTGGGAAAGGAGATTTTTTTCAATATATGAGTGTGAAGTACTGTGATACCTACTGACTTCTACTTTTTTTTGTTTTTAGTTAACCAGATTTAATTTGAAAGCGTATAGAACTTGCTCTCCCACGTTGCAATCCTTGCCTATTATGAGATTCCTCCTTCCCTGAGAGTGTAACCCCTGCCTAAGCCTAATGGCTCAGCGTCTGATTACCCATTATGAATAGAGGCTATCTGGAAGGGAGTAGTCCTCCCATAGGAGCTCAGTGGAGAGCTGCTTTTCAGCTCATCTGCCACATGCTGTTTGCTTCTTGCTGCAGCTGTGCCGACAGTATTAACCACGCTGCTACCACAGGTGGAAATCACCTCTGATGGATTGGATTTTTTTTACTGCTGTGGTCAAAGAACGAGACATTAGTGAGTTCGGGGGGTGAAGCAGAGCCTGCTGCTAGGACCGGTGAATACTAGAAACAAAGCTCTCAGAGATTGGTGGCTGTTGTTGTGTGATTGGAGACTGTCTCCAGTGGTGTTACTGATAAAATGTATCTCCCTGCGTTTTTTTTTTAACTTAAAAAAGAAGCTATTTTGGATCTTTAGGAGTGAATTCACATAAAGGTAGTTGGTGCTATAGCAACCGTTCATCTGAATGAATGTTCTGCTGGGAATATTCAGGCTCTGACTTTTGTCGTTGATTTTACCTGTAGCCCTTCAGCTCTATCTCCTGCAGCTTTTGCTTTCAGAAGAAATCGGTGTTTGTCTTCAGGGAACTGCTTTATTTGCTGTTTCAGCCCTCCTGGTTTTCGGTTTTCCCAGAAAACCCTCTGTTTTTAGGGATGATGTAACATCATCAGAATCTCGTTAGCCTGATTGGTTCACACGTGGTCCTCCAGAGGAGGATGTGGGGAAAGCAATAATCAAAGTATCCTGCACCTAAACCACTCTGGTTGGTGGTTGCTGAAGTACAGGTTTCATTTCAATCCCCATCAGCTCCTTCCAGTAATTCATCGGCAGTTTAGTGGTGATTTGACCCCAGATAATCATATCAGCTGTGTTAAAGTGGCTGGGGACATTTGTATACATGAAATAGCAAGCCAAGAGGATGGCTGCTCTCTTCATTACTTAGATCAGATGCTCGTGGCTCTCTCAGAGCTTTTGGAACAAATATTCTAATTTTCTAATACCCTTTGTGAATGTTGGGAGTGTAAAATACCCCCATAAAACAAGGCTAAGGTAAAAATGCTGGTGGTAGGCTGTCTTTAACAGCACAAACAGGCTTCATGCTGCTCTCTTGAAGCAGAGTTAGCTGAGCTATCAGTGTAGTGACAACCAGGAAACTTGATTGGTTGTAAATTTAAAGATTAATCATTCTTGATTGATCAAAAAAGTGTTAGTTGAAAAGATGACCAAAATGCATTGCTTTGACAGAAGTGAGTCTTCTAATGAAACTGAAGCACTTTATTTGCTGCACCTGTGGCTGTCTTGGCCTCTCAGGCTGAAAGTTGCTTAATGAGGTGGCCTATTGTACAGGCTTTGATATGCAGGCACAGTATTTCCTTTTAATCATTTTTCTTCAGTTTTCTAGTGGAGAGTTGGGCCGACCAAAGGCAGAATGACGCCTCTAATTGAAAAATAGTACAATGCTTTCCTGAACACAGCTACCTTCGTTAGAAGCACATACATGTGCACTTCTATGTGCTTAGCGTGCCCTTTCAGCTTTGGCTGCTTGTGTTAATTACTGCACAGGCTGGTGGTTACACACCTGGCATATGTGAACTGTGAGGGGTTGAAGAGGGATAGGCAGTGAAGCCCTGAAAGGAGTGAAGTACAACCTTTTATCTCCTCTGATCTCACATCAGGAGTTGCTCATGCTTTGAAAAGGGCCATCATTCTTTCATGACAACTTGTGAACTCTTAGATTATCATTGTGTTTCAGCGTGCTGCCATGCCTTGCTGTTGCAAAGACAATGGAGAATTGATGGTGCAGCCCAACTGCCCTGTTCTGAACTGGCTTTCATTTAAAAACTTTAAGGGTAAAAAAAAAATAATATTCCCTCTTCCAGTATTTGTTAATAGTTGGCTCTGAGGTGCAAAAGTAATGAAGAAATAAGCTTTCATATGCAGCTGCATCTCAGAGGTCAAGGCTGAAGCTGAGTGCTCAGCAGTAGGCTCAAGGGGTTCACTGGGAGTGAAACAGCCGTGGTCTGTGCCTGGAGGGATGAGCACTGCATGCTTATCATTGGTGAATGATACAGGTTCCTAGAATGCAAAATATTTGCTAAATCTTCATAGGGAAACTGAGTGTCATGCTGCACCTCTTTGGGTTCAGTGGCTAAAGTGATCAGAATTAATTTTAGAACACTATGAAACAGCCTATGCAAGAAAGGATAAAAGAAAAGATCAGCTGGCTTCCCTGTAGATGAGAAGCACTGCATAGCAAGTCCCTAGCTATTGTTCTTGTTGCTTCTGTGACCTCAATAGTTATTTATTGTTCCTCACAGTTGAAATGCTGCTTTCTCCATTAACTTCTGTCACTTCAGCTGTCACGTTTGAATTCATTCATTCAGTGAAAAAAATGTTTATTCTCCTTTCTTTTGAAGTGGGAATGCAGTGATTAGTCAGGAGATGTTGATCTTACTAGAAACCCTATACTTTGACATGAATGGAGTTATGCACCCTCAAACTGTGTTAGTTACCCTCCTTGTACAGGTACAGAGTCAGTATTTAGCTGCCTAATCTGAAGTCAGAGGAAAGGCTTGTACTAATTTCAGTTGCTCTGAATCAGGCTAGAAGTCTGAAGTAATTATATCTGCAGGATTACAGCAGTGAAAGAGTAAAGGAAGACTCTTTAGAACTCTCTTCAGTTTCATCCACTCTGATGATGCTCTGGGGTGGCACTCCTCAAAGCACACCAACTAACAGCTGGTTCTACCTTTTGGAAAACAGATTAAAATGAAGGATCTGCTTCATTCCTCATCTCATCACTGAATACCATCATTACTGAAGATGGGACTGTTCCTTGAGCTCTCAAAGGATGCTGTGTTACTTCATCTATATTTCTTACTATCAGTGTGCTTCACTTTGTGGTTGTTGCTATTCCTGTGCTGAAGAAAAGCCATTTGGACTAAGAAATCATCTTAACAAAATGTAAATTATTCCAAAGGGTCCATCTACATAAGTACACATTAATCTACTTCTTAAATATGTAGCAGAATCTTTCCCCTGAGGAGATCATGGAGCTGTGAAAATATGTAATGGTAATTAATTACTGCCCAAGAATAGATTAATATTACATGGTAGGAATAATAGTAAAATGTATATAACTAAGTTGTGTCTGTAGGGTAATGCAAACTGAGAAGAGGTATCAGACTGTGGCAGTGTTATAGTTAATATCCCATCAAAAGGAAAGTGTGATTTTCTATTTGAATGGCATTTGTTGCGTAGCACAGCCATTTATTGTCACTGTTTGTATTTGGAGCAATGAAAATATTTTATTTCTGATTGCCCAAGAGAGCTGGCTTTGCTGTTGCTGCAGAAAAAGCCATTTCTTCTTTGAGGAGTTGCTATTGGGTGTATTGTCTGTACTGTTGGTCTGTGCTGTGGCTCTAAATAGCATTGCCCTGACTGTGTTTGTGTGTAAGCTGGGGATGAGAACATGTTCCTGAAACCCCTGCCATGCACTGTACTTTGCCTTTTATCATCTAAAGCTTTTGTCGCAGTCTTACAACATCTCAGCCATCCTCTGATATTGTCTGTCTTAAAGTTGATGCAGTGCAGATCTTTAAGTGGTGTACAGCTGGAAAAGCTGTAGGTTTAACTCAATTATGAAACCCCATTAACAATTTTTAACTGTCTTGTTGTGTAGTAAGTTGAATTCAGGAGGTTTGGCTGAAATTTGATCCTTCAGTAACAGATTTTGTAGTTGTATTTTAAATGAAGATGGTAACACAGGACTTGAGCTGAAGGTACTTAACATGAGAATACAAAGTGGAAATCCTCTCTGGGTGACTGGATCTGATTTTTGCAGTTGCAGATGTACATGTTACATGCCCAGAGTATCCCTCTGAATGAGGATGCTTCCTTGCTTTTCTGTCTCTGCAGGACTCTATACTGAAGCAGTGTTTCATGCCTTGCAGCAAATGCAGCAGTGTAACTACTAACATGAAAGTGAACCTGTAGCGTGCCTCCAGAAGAGAGCAATGTTGCTATGGATGTCAAGGAGCCCAAAGATATCCCAGCTCTGTAGTGTGTGTCCCAATGGATCTCTTCCTGCATGGAGCAGTGGAAGCAGCCAGGGAAATTGGGGCAGCATTGCTCACTTCTCCTGCTCAGGGTGGGAGGGAGGAAGCAGAGTTTGGGTTGTGTTGAGACGCACTGTTATCATCACTTCTGTGGGACTGAGAGGTTCGTGCTGCCCAAGGAGATGAGGAGCTTGCCTACAACTGTAATTCCTGTTCCTGTAGTGGCTGTGTGGCCAAATATTATTCTATAATAGATGCAAATCCCAGCTCATTAAATACCTGATTGAAGTTCTGTTATGTTCTATGGTAGCTCATAATGATGGGTATAAGAAAAGAGTGCACAGCTTAGCATGTGCTTCAGGAGGGGTTTGTCAGCTCTTATTGTAGGGTGTGTGGATTTGCAGTGTAGATGAAAAGCAGGCTTCATTTCCCATCAGGGTAAATTTGACATCTGTTCATTCTGTTCATTTCTTAAAAACAAATTATGTCTTGTAAAATGATATCTCTCTCAAAATCAGTGATGAAGTTATGTAGGTTCCCCACTGTAGCAGGGGAATATATTGTGAGGTTTAAAGCATCCTGCATGTTTTTCTTTGAGAGCATCTGTGGTACTTTGCCAGAGGAGATGCTCCTAAAAATCTTCTCCTTTAAGAAGAAATTGAAACCTGCTGCTTC